TCTCATCACAAATTAAAAGGGAATATTAAAGAATAAAAGTCCTATTAAAGTTAATGGTCAAAAGCAAAATAGGCCTTTGCCAGATGCAGTGGTGCACAGCTGTAATCAAAGCTGCTCGGGAGGCTGAGGCAGGAGGATTTCGAGCTCAAAGCCAGCCTCATCAACCATCAAGTGCTGAACAACTCAGTGAGACCCTGTGTTTAAATAAAATACAAAATAGGGCTGGGGATGTGGCTCAGTGGTCAAATGCCCCTGAGTTCAATCCCTGGTACCCCCCTCCCCCAAAGAAATAGGACTTTATGTTGTGCAATGAATAATCTGAGAAACTAGAATGGAGTCACACAGTGTGATGATATTTCAGTGATGGACCACATATATGATGGTTGTCCCCTAAGATTATATCACCCAGTTTTGTTGCCCTGTCAGTTTGTGCAATTACTATCTATGATGGTTGTATGACTAAATCAACTAATAACACATTTGTTAGAATGTATCCCTATGTTTAAACCAGGCATGATTTTATCTCCTTGGGATGTGAACCATATGAAATGTAAAATAGTCTAGCTAGGTGAAATGAGTTGGTCATGAAAAAAAGAACACATTCATTTCAATTAGAGATGCATACTGAATTTTTTGTGGTTGTGAAGATACAGTAATTGAGATTTGTTTTCAAATAGTCCAGAAAATAAATAAATCAATAAAGGGTATAATAGATAAAACAAATTTAGCAAAATAGTAATATAATAAAGTCCATTATACTATTTTCTGCTTTTTTGTATGCTATGATTTTCTACAACTAAAAAAAAATCAATAATTTCTAGAAGGTGTGGTTTCAGTCATCAGAATCTCCTGGGAAGCTTATCAAAATAGATTCCAGGAGTTGTCCAGAACTCTTAAATCAATCTCCCATGGGCACATCATGGATACAGGAGGAGATGAAGGCTTGTGGATGGAAGAACGTTTGTGTATAGATGATATATAAATTCACACATGGTCCACAACTCCTGGCTCGTAACTCCCTCTCCAAATCAAGCTAAAGAAATTAGAATTTCACTTCCCAAAGGTGGCTCATAGAACTGAAAATGTACTCTCATCTTTCTTCACCTTTCTGTTTTGGAGTTGGACATAAAGAAATTCTCTGACCTACCTTGTCTGACAGATCTTAACACTCCCATTGCAGAAGGGTCCTGCCCATGCCTGCAAGAAAGGAATGTTGCAGAGAGGCCGAGGCAATCCACACCGACAGGCCTTGCTGGGTCTCCCCACCCAGTCCATTAGCATGAGAACATACCCTTTTGTCTAATCACATTTCTGCACAGTTGTTCATCCTTCAATCATGCTTGTGCAGTGACATTTCCCAAAAACCCCCAAAGGACAGGGTTCCAAGACATCTAGACATCGAGATACAGGGAGTTCCTGAAGAGTGGGGCTCCCAAAGGCGGCCTAGAAGCCCCCTGCCCCTTCTCTCATACCTAGCCACATGCATTTTTTTTTCACTTGTATTCTTTGTAACTTCCTTTGTAATAAACCTGTGAACATGTTTCCCCGAATTCTGTGAGCCACTAAAAGCAAATTCATTGATCCTGAGGAGGGGAGTGTGGAAACCCTGATTTATAGCCTATTGGACAGGTAAAAACATCCTGGGGCTTGTAGTTGGCATTTAAGGTGTGTATGTGGTGGGGGCAGTCTTGGGGTCTGAGCCCTCAACTTGTGGGATCTGATGTGGTCTTCAGGTAGTTTCAGAACTGGAGGGACACTAAAGCTAGTGTCTGTTACAGAATCAGTTGCTCTCTTGCATTTTGGGATCAGAGATCTGTTGACTGTTGTGGTGTAAATTCGTTATCTCCCAGTTCGGATGGCCATCACAGCCAGAACCCTTCTTCTTACGTGTCTGACCCGGAAATCTTAGACCAGTCTTCCTTCTTCCCAGCTGATTTATTTCTTCCCTATTTCTTTTTCCTCTCTTAGGGGACCTTAGGACCTCCAAAGGAAAATAGGGACCTCAAAAGCTCATCCTAGCGGGCCCAGGCTAACCTTTCCCTCTCCTACGGGCTTCTGGGTCCTCACTGTTTGATCCAAGTGCTCTGCTTGAGTAGACGGGCCTACTCTCCTACAGTGATAATTTTTAAAAGCTCCCTTCCTCTCCACGTGTAAGAGGTGGACCTGTTCACTGCCCAAGTGTACAGCAAAGGGGTTAGTTATGTGGAAAGCAGTCTTCATGTTTAAGTCTGCTTTTTTTTTTTTTTCCTTTCAGCATTCATCAACAGAAAAACATCAAATTTTGTTCTTAAATAATTTATTTTTTAATATTTACTCTTGGGAAAAGTTACATTTACTTAGGAAAACTTGTAGAATCCAATAAAGATACACAGAATTATATAAGATAAAACCAAATGTGCAAATTTCAAATAGTTTCTATAATAAGTATAAATAATTTTATTTCACATTAAGAATGAAAACATTGATAGACACAAAATATTAAGCTATCAACTTTGAAAGGATTATATGAAAACACTGAAGTTTAGTTGACATCTTTGGAAAAAAAATCAGAAAGATTTATGTTGGGGGAAAAAGACATGTCAGAATACAATAGAAGACTCCGTAGTCATGGGTCACAATATATTCAGGTGCTAAGTTCCGACCTCTAAAATGGCCGGCCGACTTTTAATTCTGGGAAAATGCATTTTCCTCCTTTTTTTCCTAAAGCCAGCACAACAATAACACAAAGCACACAGGAAAGATGTAGGCCAAGGGCAGAAAGAAATTTCCTTACAATTGCTAATTTTTTTCTGTCCTGGGGCTGGGATGTCAGGGTCTCTGCCCAGCACCCTACACACAGCATGAACACACACAAAGAAAACTTAATGACACACCATATCTGTCTTGTCTCCACTCTTTCCCCATCTTCTCTCCAAGGAGGTAGAATTCTCAGAGGCATCTACACAACACAGACAGCAGTTTCTTATCCTGCAGCTGGAGTTTCATAGGAAAAAGCATGAGAGTTTGCTAGATTCACTCTTGAAGCAATTCCTTCCTTCCGAGGGAGGCAATAAGCAAAGGGTATCAAAGAGATCACCTCCTCACTGCAGTCTGGAGCTTGCCTAAAGCAATGCAGCATTTTCCCCAAAGGAGGAGAAACATGTAATTGATTTTTGTAATAAAAATAAATAAAGTGAATTACATGAATATGACTATTGAGTTCATGAAATAAGCTGTATATACAGGTTGTGACCCAGCAACAACCAAAAAAATAGGTTATTATTATAGTCTTTCAACTTAAATCTCTGGGCAACATTTCAACATTAACAATCCCTCATACACAATATAAGGGTATATTATATCTGTTCACACTTTTACATGCACCTCAGTTCAAGCAAACCTCTTTAGAGGGGTAGACAATGATAAGCCAGAGTTATCTGTCTTCCCACTAAAATGTTGATTTCTAAGAGGTGCTTACTATAGAGAGCAGCTCATTTTCAATGTGAACATGTTCAGTATCAGCAGCCTCTGAATCACAGTCTGTGCTTGATTCTGTTTTTTTTTTTTTTAGAAAGGAGCTAGACATAAAGTAGCAGGATATAAAATTAACACTCATAAATCAATTGCATTTCTATATGCCAATGATGAATCAACTGAAAGAGAAATTCAGAAAACTATTCCATTCACAATGGCTTCATTAATATAATATTTGGGAATCAATCTAACAAAGTGGTATGAAATGAAAATGACAGAACACTACAGAAAGAAATCAAAGAAGACTTAGAAGATGGAAAGATCTCCCATGTCTTTGGACAGGCAGAATTAATAGTCAAAATGACTATACTACCAAAAGCACTAAACAGATTTAATGCAATTCCTATTAAAATTCCAAAGACATTCTTCATAGAAAAAGCAGTTATGAAATTTATTTGGAAAAATAAGAGGCCCGGAATAGTCAAAGCAATCCTTAGTAAGAAAAGTGAAACAGGAGGCATCATAATACCAAACCTTAAATTGTGCTACAGAGCGACAGTCACAAAAATGGCATGGTATTGGCACCAAAACAGACATGAAGACCAGTGGTATAGAATAGAAGACACAGAGACAAATCTACATAATAAGTACAGTTATCTCATGCTAGACAAAGGTGCCATAAACATACAAAGAAATGATAGCCTCTTCAACAATTGGTGCTGGGAAAACTGGAAATCCATATGCAACAAAATGAAATTAAACCTCTATTTCTCACAATGCACAAAACCCAACTCAAAGTGGATCAAGGACCTAGGCATTAGACCAGAGACCCTGTGACCACTAGAAGAAACTGTAGGCCCAACTGCCAACTTCCTCAACAAGACCCCTAAAGCACAAGAAGTAAAATTGAGAATCAAAAAATGGGATGCTTTCAAACTAAAAAGCTTCTTCATAGCAAAGGAAAAAAGAACACAAAGAGAAAGCCTACAGAATGGGAGAAAATCTTTGCCACCTGCACATTAGACAGAGCATTATCTCCAAGATGTGGGGAAAAAGGCACCCTCAAACATTGCTGGTGGGACTGCACATTGGTGTAGCCACTCTGGAAAGCAGTACGGAGAGTCCTCAGAAAACTTGGAATGGAACCACCATTTGACCCAGTTACCCACTCTTCAGAATACACCCAAAGGACTTAAAATCAGCACAAGATAGTGACACAACCACATCAACGTTCATAGCAGCTCAATTCACAATAGAATGAAATTTGGCATTTGTCAGTAAAAGGATGGAAATGGACACTGTCATGCTAAGTGAAATAAGCCAATCCCCAAACACCAAATGATAAATGTTCTCTCTGATATGCAGACACTAATCCGGGTCAGGGAGAGAAAAATAGAAGTTCATTAGATTAGACAAAGGGTAATGAAGGGAAGGGAGGGGAAATGGGAATGGGAAAGACAGTAGAATGAACTGGATATAACTTTCCTATGTTCATCTATGAATACATGACCAGTATAACTCCACATCATGTACAACCACAAAAATGGGAAGTTATATGCCATGTATGTATGTATGTCAAAATACACTCTACTGTCATGTATGTCTAAAAAGAACAAATTTTTAAAAAGACTCTAAAATACAAAGGAAAAAAAAAGATAGAAAGGTGCCAAATAGGTGGGGACAACCATGAACTACTGATACTTTGTGAATACGTGAATTCTCCCTGAGCTTCTGCAAGCACTTGCAGAGGGCTTTTTGTGCCTTGAGGATTCAACTTCACAACTCTGAAAAATGCTGATGGAGGGCAGGTGGGATGGCTCTGGGCCTCCTGACCGTCTGTCCATGTGTCTTTTTCTGTTTTTGCAAGATGATAAAGCAGTCCTGGCGGGTGGAGGGTAGGGGCTACTGCTAGTCCTAGCACACATTCCAAGTCCAAAGTTGTCCCAGCCCTCTGCTTGGCAGGAGAGGAGCAACGAGAGGCTGGGGCTGAATCTGACAGAACACACTGCTAGTCACAAGCTTTGCTCTGAGGCTGCTTGGGAATATTCCTGGTTACCAAATCCCTGAATCACAGTCATGACGAAGAGCTTATCTTCCCTCCCTTGCTTGAAGACACCCTCAAGGCCACTGTCCCAGGGCCCGCCCCTTCCATGGCATCCGGGGGTTTGGAGCATAGCACCACTCTGGCTGGTGGCCTGCGGCCCCTCTTGGTGGAGCTGGTCACATGTTTCTGCTTAGCCATACATCTGCTTGAACTGAAAGCATTCATTGCAGTAGCCGTTGCACTTGGTGTTGCCAAAGTGATCGCAGGCAGGGGCCCGGCAGCGCTGTTTGGGGGGCTCTTCAGGAGTAGGTTCACCCCGGTGGGTCCCAGGGCCCACCCGCTGGCTGAGGTGCTGGCACTCCATACAGAGCTCTTCACTGCGGCAGGCCAGGATGTTCTTGCAGGAAGCTCGGGCACACTTGGGCCTTGAGGCGCCCTGTGTGGTTCGAGGCACATCTCTGCGCTGGCTCGATCTCTGTGTGGGAAGAACAGAGAGAACTGTTGCTCTCATTTCTCTGGAAGAACACAGTAAGCTGTCATTTGGGCTCATTCTGCCTGAGAACAAGGGACACAGGCACATAGCAGTGGGAATATTTCCTCCAAATCTCAAGGCAGCTGACCTGGCCCCAAGGAGGGCATGGGGAGCTACTGATCCTGAAAGGACTGTAAACTGGCCAGGAGTGCTTCCCCGGGAATCACCATGGATAGCTCCTCAGCCCTTGTGCACACAACAGGCAACACATCTGTCACCATTTGCTTTTCTGATATGCTTTTAAGTGGAGTACCTGTGAGGCTCTGCCTTCTTTCTGGCTTATGATAAAGGATTATTTAAGAAGTCTGCTTTTTAGATGTCTGTGCTTCTGCTACAAATCAGTCGAGATTCTCATGCCCATCTGGCTTTCTGGATGCTGGAAGCATTTTTATTTTATGGCTAATTTTATTGGCTTTTCAAAAACAAATTCTAACTTGGTTCATGCAGACGGACAACAAACAGTCCTTCCAACCTGGTGATGTCGACATTTTTCTCCAGGTTCTTTCAACAGACTTTCTTAAGCAATCCTTTGTCATGGGAAGACAGAACTGGCAGGAAGGAGAGCCTGCTTGTCACATAGCTGGGAGAAACTTCCAGCTAAGGGGACCCGACATGCACACACTCCTTAAAAAAATGTCTTACCAGTTGCTGGTCAGTCCTTTTTGCTTCATGAAATCTCTGGTTCTGAGCTTCAATGAAGCACTTCTGACAGTATCCTTCAAACATGGTGCTTCCAAGGGTGCCGCACTCCCTCCCTAGGCACGGAACAGCGTTCTGGAACCGGGAGGCTGTGGAACTGGCTTTCCCTGAGGCAGCGCCAAAATCTATAAGAGAGTCGATGCTACTCAGTACCATGTCTGGGCCGCTAGGCAGACACTGACACAGAAGGAAATGGATTCTAAGTAAAGATTAGGATAGCCTTCAATAGACTTGAGACTAGACATTTATAAACTTAGCAAAATAATAAAATCATCACTAAACATCTTTGGCTTTACGGATTGCTATTGGAACAGTGATCAGTCACACAGAATAAACAGCAGACATGAACTGCCCCTCTTCTCTTGAAATAGAGATTCCAAACCACATATGTTCTCCTATAGTGTCAGTGGCGATTGCCCTCTCTCTAGGTTTTCAGATTTTGAGTTTCTCACATTTGAAAAAGTCTAGCTTAAACTCTATCTTATAAATGCCAGGCACCAAATAGCCTTATGAAAACACAATGCCATCAACTATCCATGAGGGTACTTTGGATTTCTGGCAGGGGGGGCAGCTAAGAGCTGCTTGTCTCACAGTGCCTACGGCTTCCCTGTGCGCCTGGCAGAGGCACCATGAGTGTCATCAAGGGCAAGCTGCTGGAAAAGCAGTGGGCTCTGCCCATTCCACCCGGGCACTCAGGCAGGCTTTCCTTTCTTGAAGTTCAGGAACAAAACCCCTTCCAGGCAGCAGCTGCTGCATTAGGAAAATCTATCGTTTCACTCACGTTTGTTTTCTCTGTACTCGATGAAACACAGCGTGCAAAATCCCTTGTTTTCTGGAGTTCCAAAATACACACAGCCAGCTTTTCTGCACTTGCTGGTCCCAGTCCTGTCCCCTGGAGTCCTTGAGGCTTGGGAGAGGCAGCCAGAGGGGGCATCGTTTCCAGCTCTGTGGCAACTGTGCGGGGAAAGACTCTGGATGAGCTGTGAGGGGTCTGACTTGGACCGCTGGTGACAGGAAGGAGGGAGGCTGGAACCTAAGCTGGAGGAGGGCTCTGCTGTAGTCCTTTTGAAGCAAGTACTGCAGATCCCATTAAATGTCCTGGTAACGTCCTGGAGGCAGGCTCGGCACTTACCAGGATCTAAATGCCTGGTGGTGTCTGTGGTGTGGTTGGCATTGACCTGCCGGGCACTGTGACAACGCTCACAGAATCCATTGTGTTGCACATTCAGCGTGAAAGGGCAGCCGGGACTCCTGCACTTCATGGCGGTGGTCTCGCTGAACAGGAAAAGGCTGGGCGCTGTTGGTGGGGCTGAATGAGGCCCTCCAGCTGGCTCCTCGGGGTTCCAGGCTGAGGGCTCGTAGGCCTCTCCCCGAGAGGCCCCAAGTGCCACCCCGGGCAACCCATCTGGGCCTGGCTTGAAGTTCAGCTTTGGCAGTTTGTTTTGGGTCTTCTGCCGTCTCTCTGAGCACTCATGGCAGAAAGGCTGGGTGTTCACAGACATGAAGAAAGGGCAGTTGGGCGTTTCACATTTTACATCCATGAGAGAAAGCTGGGGTGTAGAAGGTTCCACAGGGTTCTGCGAGCGTGCCCCTCTCCTCCCCTGCTCGTTGTTCTCCTGCCACTTCTTGTACTCATGCTGAACAAGTTCAAAGTAATCATCTACCAGGTTGATCTCCTTTGGTAAGTTAGCTTCATCCAACCTGAAGCCCAAATGGAAAACGTGAGATAACGAAATGACACCCAAGACTTTTACCTCATTACCATGCCCTGGGCAGTTTCAGAATGTGGATCCTGGCAACAACTTTATGGCCATTCACCAAAATCACTGCAACGCACTGATGACATAACTGCATCCAACACATTGCCTACATACGTTCGAGTGAAAGACGAGGCCAGTTAGTCAGCTAAGAAGACTTCATTATTTCTAACAGTTCACAGTCTCATTTACTCTATCTTTGTGTACCCCGAATTACAGGTAACGCTAAAGAAAGAGCCAACTCTACATCTTGCTACTCCAGGGTTCCTTCTAAAACATTAGTTTTACTTTTTAACTTCTCAGAGATCAAATGTTAAGTGAAACATTACTCAGGCTATTCATTTGGGCTGGTCTACTCTACCGTACAAACAACTTTGGAACTCTGCATTCTGTATTTTGCTGTTATTGATTTCAAACTCTTGTCTGATCTCTATTGAAGTTCCCTGCCATGAGTAACTAAGAGGTGAGCATGCCCATAGGCACTGTCTGTTTACTTCTGTTTACTAACTTTCTTGTTAATCTCCACTTTGAGAAATGGATTCTTGTAATGTGCGGGCATCATTTTCTTGTTTTCTTTTGTGGTTTATTTTTGTGGTGCTGGGGATGGAACCCAGGGCCTGGTGTTGAGCACGCTGGGCAACTGCTCTGGCACTGAGCTCTGCCTCCAGCCCCCATCTCATACATTTCAAGTTCTCAAAAACTTTATGGTTGAGCTTTGGAGTGGCAGCAGCTTATGTGGCTAAAGTAAAGGCAGTCACAGATGACAAAGAAGGTGCTAAATATAAACGGCTTACTTTGCAGCATTAATCAGATGAGTGGTGCCGTGGTCCCAGCCTTGGACCGGGATTTCTATCACCATCAAGTACTCTTTTAAGAGCTTGTCCTTCATCTCATTTTCAGGCTCTGTCAGAAAGTGAATTTTTAAGTCTTCAAATCTTCCTCGGTCTCTGTTGACAAGTGGTACAGCTCGGATTTCTAAAAGGGGGAAAAAAAACAGCATGTGAGTAAAATATTATTCGACTAAAAGAGGCTGCATGTAAGGTCGTATGTATAGAATGATTAAACTGTGAAAATGCAGAAAGCATACAATTTGAAGAGGAGAAAAGTAACATCTAGGCATAGTTAAGCCCAAATGGGAAAACAAAGTACACTAAACGCTAACATAAGGATTATGTTCCAGGGAGCTCACACAACATTAGCCAGACTGCAGAATCAGACTGACCTGAATTTGAAGTATGACTTTGTCACTATCAAGCTATGTGACACTAGGCAGGTTATTTATAATCCCTCCTGAGTTCTAACTGCCTCATCTATAAAATAAAGCTACCTATTCCTGCATCTCACAAAGATGCCATAATGATGAAATGGAAAGGTATAATGTACCCAAAGCACTCAGCACAGTGCCTATTACACATTATATGACTATCCTAACAGCTAACCTCACAGATATTTATTCACCTGCTCCATGCCAGGCATTATATTGAAGACACTGTGTACCTTCATCTGCAGGTATTAAGAGTGATGGTGGTAAGGATATGTGTGTGTGTATTTAACCTACTTGTGATTAATGTGCTAACAGTATCATACACAAAAAGATATAGGAGTATTATGATTATTCTACTGTATTACTATTGTAGGTCATGTAATTCTAATATAAAAATTCAAAATCTGAAATGTTCCTCAATCTGAGACTTTGAAGTGGACTTTGGAGGAGCACTTTGGATTTTGGATTAGGGATGCTCAACTGGTAAAGTCCATGCAAATATTAAAAAATCTGAAAGACTAAAATCTGAAACACTTCTGGTTCCAAGAATTTCAGATAAGAGATGCTCAACCTGTACTAGCTAAAGCAAATGACAGAATAATGTAGTGAAATAAAAATAGTATACTTAAATTAGACTATTTTCAATTAGGAGCAAAAGAACAAAGCCTGATGTTCTAATATCTAGCAGAAGTTATGAATGTGAATGGATGATGTTTGCTCACCAGGCCCACTGTCCTTCAGAGTCACCAGGGGTACAAAGTGCTGGCTGTCATAACCAAGAACAATGGGGTATCTGTAGCATTCCTGTGCAGGCCAGTGGAGAGGCAAGTAAATTCCACCCACTTTCAAAGGGGCGAAATTGGAACCTGATTCCAAACTTCTCAGCATTTTATCTGTTTAAGGAAAGAGAAAGAAAAACAAGGCCCTCAGGTGACTTTCATCAAATTCCATTTGGCTACTGTTACTTGAAGTAACTTTGGGAATGTGGGTATTTCCTAGGAATCAAAGCATTAACGCTGAAAAGCCCTTAAATACAAATAAATGATCTGCAGGCATCTCACCTGAAATGACAATGATGGGCCTTCTGAGGATGTTGCAAAGGACAAATATATGAATTTCTTCCAGTGAATTATACTGAAGTCCACTTCGGGCTGCTGGGGTGTCTGTGGATGCCATTTTGATAAGGTTGTCCCATTCATCATTCCAGTTCTAAGGGGAGAGGGGTCAGGAGGAACAAAACAAAACAAAGGCACAATTGAATGTACTCTGCACCAAACAGTCATTCTGGTATTACTCTACAATTATTCATTTATATAACTCATCTTATATTTTCCCCTTTCTTAAAATCACCATTCAAATGATCATCCCCACCCCCCATTTTGGTTTTCTTCCTTTACTCTTTTCCACTACAGAGCAAACTCAAAACCAGGGGAAGCGGGGGACAGCACCTGCTTTCAAAAAAAAATCCCTGGTGAGGCATAACATTGAAGCCCCTCATCCAAATGTCAACAAAAATTCCAAACTTGTGACCAAGAATGGTAAAGTGATGAGTCTGCTTTTATTTGGGAGGCTCAGTAGTGCACGTGAAGGGCACTACTGAAAAACAACAGGAAGGCCATGACTGGAAGAACTCCTAAAACACTGCTGGGAATCTGCACCTCAAAGCCTCGGAACAGAGTCATGATCCTTGGGTTAATCCCACAGGAGGTTTCTGGTGTTTTCCACTGAGTATGCTTGGCTTACCCAAATTCATGTGACCTAGTAAGTCATTTGCTCCTCTGGCACAGGGACTGGCCCAGAGAACTCTTCACCCACCATGGAACTGTCAATAGATGCTTCACAGAGGAACAGAACATACCCTAGTGTCATAGCAAAGTCCCGTTTCCACGAATTCCTGAGATTTCAGAGATTCCAGCTGCCAGCGGAATTTAAAGTTGCGTGTGTCAGTCTCCTTGAGAGTGCTGAAGAGTGCCTTCCTCAGGACCAGGTCTGTGTCCTGGACACCCCACATATACTGACAAGCAGCATGCATGAGGCAATTTCCATCACCTGAGGACAGAAGGGAGTCATGAGAAGCAAGGTTAAATCATCTGCACTTAAGGCACTGCACAGGTTTTCAGAATGAACGAGGCAGACTGCTCCCACAGCGGGCTGAATGGTTTGATTTCTAAGTCAAGGGCCAACTGATGATGTGCAACAAGGTAATACAGCTATAGGGGAAAAGTAATTCTCTTCATTCTTCCTTATAATGAGTAGCTCCAACAAGGCAAATGGGCCAGAGGACCTGGGTTCCAGCGTGGCTCTCCTCCTACCTGGATAAGGTGACCTTGAGGAAATTCCTTAAGGTCTCCAGGTACTTTTCCTCTTTTAGAAATGAGAACACTGAATTATGATCACTACAGTCTATCTCTAATAGTCCTGGGTTTGCTGGCTACGGCACTGTCACTACTGTTCTCTAAAGGGCAACAAGCACAACCAGGAAGCAGGCTCTGCTGGGCTCACTACACAGGGAAGGTCTGGCTATGACTCAGTGGTAAATGCCTTGACCAATTCCGCTGGAGCTTTTGGGACCTGGAGTTTCCTCTCCTGGTTTGTTCAGTGGAATTGACAACACCAAATTACCCACAGCCTGCAGCCCCAGGTTCCCTGAGTGCATTAAGGGACCTTTTTTTTTTTTAAATAACTCAGTGTTTGGGGTTTGCATTTTGAGAAAAAAAAATAGGTCTAATTTTCTTCCATTAAGTTATGACTTCTCCATGTTAAAACTCATGACTCAAGAGACTGCACTATTTTCCAACTCCCAAACAATGAACATTTTGGGAGAATGTTTAATATAGAAACAAAAATTCTTAATCTCCTTTGGCAAGTGCAAGATAGGTTGTTTTTTTTAAAAAAAAAAAGTTAAACTATTTTCTTAAATTATTCTCTAAGTAAGGCAATAAAGCTATCTGAAATTTATCAAAGTCTAATTATAGTCGAACTATAAAAAAAAAAACAAACAAAACAAAAACCTCAAATACATATCCACAGCCAGTTTTCCTTCAATTTATACACTTAGAAAACTACTAAGTAAGCATGATCACCAATGAACAACAGATCACTCAAGCCCTGTGTCTTGGCAGAAGTGTGGCAATGATTGCGTTCTGTTGAAATTTCCCCTTTGCAAAATCTAGAGCAAAGATAAGGCTTTTTTTCTTCTTCTTGTGCTTACTTTCAGTTCTTTATTGAGATGCACCAGTATAAAATTCCCTAAGCAACATCTGGAATTCCCCAGTGCTAAGTTATTTGACTAGCAATTGAGCAACAGCTATTGTACGTTTTGTTCTGGTGTGTAGACATTTAAACTGCGAACTGCACCCTGGACTTTCCAAGTGGGTGTGGTCAGGGTGAGCTGGAATAGGGCTACTCATTATACAAGTGAAATCGCCGCAGCCAATAGACGCTGGAATTTTTCACACGAAGTTTCAATTTTATGCCACCTACTCCCTTCCTCATTCACCACAGTCTCATATCCTCAAATGCAAACTTGTGAATCACCCCCTCCCCAATCAGACCACTGCCTTTGAAGAAAACCTCCTATAGGGGGAAGGATAAAAAAAAACAAAAAAACAAAACACACACACACAAAAAAAAAAAAAAAAAGAAAGAAAGAAAGAAAAGAAAGAAAGGTGCTAATAGAAATCATGGGAGAAAATGCATTTGTCCCCTTCCTCAATAGCTTTTCTTCCTTTTTCGGCAATTTAAGAAATTTTCTTCAAAGTGGAGAAATAAGAATTCTGAGCCTAAAAATCCATTTCCCAGACAATGTTATCCAAATACACTTGCTCTTGTAGTTTTATTAGTAGTCTGAATCCTTGTTGACATAGGATTACAAAATAAGTGTTTACTATTTCTATTCCTTTTTTTCCTTAGGAATAAAGCATTTCTTAAGGAAATAGTATATACCATGTGAATTCTGTTAATGATAATAAAGTTTTTCCCTTTGGCCCCATTTCAAATTTGCCCAAAGTTAACTCCATCTCTTTTTTCTAACAAAATGGGACAGAGTTAAAACCACAAACCATCGGGTATTATAAGCCCCTTGACAACACCTTCACATAATTACCCACTTGTATGCACCATTTGATTTAATGCCAATAACAACGTAGACAATTCCTATCTCTAGTTTCCTTCTGACCTGAGCTTCTAAGAATCCAAGCTTCATGAATACAGGTGAAGCTATAAGATACTGAGGTGATAAATGAGAGCCCCCAGAATCAAAACAAACAAATCCCCACACCTCCCAATTTCTCTGAGTCACTCAAGTCCAAAATACTCAAAGTTAATATACCAATTAAGTTAATTAAGTTAATGTTCTCATCATTACTGCCAACAAGGATTTTCTGCTCTTGGATGTATTATTTGATTGGGGTAGTTTAGTCACTGATATTAGGACCTAAGATTATTGCTCTCAACTAGACTGTAAGTATTTAGTTGATCTTGTGTAGTCTACTTGCTTATTATAATAAATATCTATATCCAACAAGCAGAATTTTGCATCTGCATAAAATAGTATGCTTGGATGTTTCTGTTGATGTCCACATTCTTGCTCAAAGGAAATGGTTAAAAAATAAAATAGTAAAGCTTGGAATAGGAAATAACTATTAGCAGCATCGTGATATAATCACAGGCAACAAAATCCAGGTAAGGGAAAAGGAAAATGTCCTCAACTGGTTAACACATAAAAGGCCACCAACACAAGAAGTGTAAGGACATCACAATAACAATGGGGAACGACAGTAAAAGCAGTTTTCACACCATACCTTTCCAACTTAAAATACCTTTTTAAGTATTTCCACTTCTGGGCAGGAAAGGGTATTGTACAGATGATTCAACAGCTGTTAAGAATCAGAAACACTAACCACCTCTTTGGGGCTTGGTGTTTAAAAATGCATTCCTAGGGCCTCAATGCCCTCTGCAGTCTAATATATACGCTTCGGACATACTATCATAAAAATAGTCATCAAATAAGCCTACTCCTGTCACACGCCTCAGAGACTTTCTATACAAAGATGGCTATAGTTAGTGCCATTAAAACTTCATGAACAAGGACCCGGCACCAGAGAAGCCCTCCCCAGGCAGCAGAAGCACTACAGAGCAATCTCACCATTGGTTTTCAGTGCCACGAGCTTCCTCACTTCACGACACCAGTTGAGCTTCTTCTGGCTTTCCAGGGAAGCCTGGATGCTTCTGTCAATGAGAGCTTTGTGGATGATTTCCCGGAATTGGGGACAAAACTGGCAAGTTCTGAACATTTCCAGCGTGTATCGGTGCATGGATTTAAAATGATGAATGATCCCATTGGTAGGTTTAAAAATGTCTTCTGGTGTTCGCTCTCTTATCTTCACAGCTTTCCGCATATTGCTCAAATACAAAGCCTGAGGAAGAAGCTGCTCAGCCATTGTGCTCTGCAAGTCCTGAAGAGGAGGGAAAAATCATTCCGTTAGGCAGCCTTTGTACTCCTATGTACCTGCCTGCAGGAAACCCCGGTGTTTGATCTTGTCCTTACCCTAATCTGTAGGCAAAAGATCTTAGTCACCTCTACTCCCAGGATACTAGCTGGCCCCAGAGATTAACTCACACTGGACTGTTTTAAGTTACATCACTTTAAAAGATTAGTCTAAACAAGAGAAGGAAGGCGGAGAGTGGGTACTGAGGAGGAGGGGAATAACCCGTGTTTTCAGTAACATCTGTCAGGGAGCCAAGCCTGTCTGTCAGCAATAGGTACAGGTACTGCTGCACAAAACCCACTTACGCGCCCAGTGCATTCTGACACCACCACTGCACAACAGCTGCTGGATTTTAGAAGCACTGAAGCCAGTTAAGGGCACAGCAGCCCTGAGTAGTCCAGCGTCTCCAGTAAGAACACGACCATTCAATCCCTGTCCTTGCTGCACTCCCTCCACAGTAAATCTTTTATGGAAGATCCTACAATTTTAGGCTGTTATCTAGGCTGCTGCTGTGTTTCTTCTTTAGCCCCAAAGAAAAATATGAAGTTTATTCATACAGTTTATTATAATGTTTATAAAGAGTCAAAACTGCATTGCTTTATAATCAACAAAGAAACCTATTCCAGCAAGATACTCTGCAATGTTAAGAGCAAAACAAGCCAGACTTGGTGGCATACACCGGTAATCCCAGCTACTCTGAAGACCAAGGCAGGAAGATTGCAAGTTTGAGGCCAGCCTCAGCAATTTAGCAAGACCCTGTCTCAAAATAAGAAGGGCTGAGGATGTGGCTCAGTCATAGAGCATTCCTAAGTTCAATCCCAAGTATGGAGGGTGGCAAGAGGACAGCAAAATAGGCAGCAGTCCTTCAGACCCCTGCCAAACTTTACAACATGAAAAGAAGAAAGAGTAATAACACAATAAATAAATTGTGAATAACTGTTCACTTCCAAGAACAGACATCAGAGCTCAATTATTTCAACTTATCTGCCACCAAATTTTATCATTGTCCTCTAGGAACCAGCATTCCCAAGAATTAATATTCTGCCCTTCACCTAGAAATCATCAAGCATAATCAACAGGTGAAGAAAATGAAAATCTAGAAGCAGACCAGAAAGAAGTTTCAGCTAGGGAGCCATGCAGGACAAATGAAAGGTGTGGGGCAAAGTGCAGCATCTGTCGCCCATGCCAACAGTGTGGAATGATGGACACAGTGGGAACTTCTCAATGTAGAGCAGTGTGGAGAGCCAGTTCTGCTTCACAACCCTTAGAGTGGTGCTTGATCACACTTCCTAATTTCCAAGAAGACAAAGATGACTTCAGAGCATAAAGAGATTCCCTAGGAAGTTTCACAGCAATGGTTAATCCCACTCCTGCATCATGCTATCTGGCAGGGCAACTCTCCAGGTAGGAAAGATGTTAAACCTATGTAAGATGAAGGAGAAGAAATCTAGAGCTTCAGGAAACCTCTCCTGGGTGGATCTAGGCTCTCTTAAGCAGCTGATAATGTGGTCTAAATTCCTGTGACCCACTTGAAGAGGAGAGGTTGGACATAGAGGACCTTCAGGTTGCTTCTAAGGGTTTGCACTGGGTTTCCTAATCCAATAACTAGGTAAGGCCTGGAAGAAGTCATTCTCTGGGTCAGATGGTGATCCCTCCTTTGATGTCAGATATTCCCCATAGGTGGAATTGGGCAAAAGCACAGCAGGGCTACAGACACAATGATGAGACAAAAATACCTTTCTCTCTACCCACTGCCCCCTACACACAATCTCTGTAGTGTAGCAAGGCTCTTTCATAACAGCATTAATCTATCTATCCATCCATGGAATCTACCAAACAAGCACTGCCTGACCACCTAATTTGGCCAAACACTATGCTTGGCACTGGGGCTAAAAATCAGAGCTGACTTATCCCCCTCCTTGAAATCATACAAACATCTTGGGCTGCAGCTAAAACACTGGAGGTACTGGTCTAGCCCAGATCCCACAGCCACATTGGAGCTGAGCTTTGCTTAGAAGATTTCCTAATATCTGTCCCTTCCTATTCCCATACCCCCACATCTATGCTAGTTGCCACTCTAAAGATGGAAGCAGAATAGCAGTAGGAAGATTTTAAACAAATTAGTATTGCCCCTTTTTGCTTTTCTGACTTCTATTCTTCTCTTCTGGGCCTAAACATCTTTCAGTAAAGATCTAAATTGCTTATATGGAAGTTATACAAGTGTCAGTATATTCAATAGCCAATTATGATATCATTCATAGATTTAGCCTTGCATGGACTACAAACTGCCTACTGAAAACAAATCAAAACCCACTGCCCAAGTTTCCAGTTCTTCGACTTCTCCACACTTAATAATAAAGAATACATTTTTCCAACACATGACTGTAATGTCCTTAGGGAAGGAAAAACCCTTTTTTTTTTTTAAAGCACTTGTTACTTCACTGTCTTACTTAAAAAGAATTTTCCAATTTTGATCACTAGGATCAATAAAATTCTACAGAACTGACTCATTAAAGTCCCCCCCACCCACCCCTTGTTTTATTTTTTCCACTCTGGGCAGACATTTTTTTCTGCAATGTAGAAATTTATGGTTTATTTGTAAACAAACACCTCACTCAACTGTTGGGAAGTACCCCTCCAAAAACTGTACAAAGAACTGCAAAAAAATGCAAGAAGCACCTTAGACAAGGAGAATAGAGCATTAGCTGGCTCACATATGAGACATGACTAGAATCGTGGTACAGAAGACTCTTTTTAATTAACAATGATTCTCCCAAAAATGCTGCCCTCAGACACTTGATCAGACTGGCTTTCCAAGGAAAGAACTGAAAAAAAAAAAGCAGACTTAAAAAGAGCTGAACGCCTTTCTTACTTAATACCACTGCTTTCCTGAGAGGCCAGGTGGCAGGATGTGGGACAACCCTGGACTGACAAAGACTGTCAAAGTGTGCGGTTGGGGACGGAGCAGGGAACCTGCACATTACTCCTCAAGTGAACCCGCAAAATGCAAGCCAGCGACCCACTTCTACGAGTACACTTCTCATACACAGTTGCAACTGGAAAAGATAAACCTCATGCCCTGACCCACCCCCTGCACAGAGCTCTCAGTATATGGAAGCTTCCCTGGGAACGTTAGCTGACTGCAGATTCCCCACGCCCACCGGATTTGGCTGCCCCTGAGACACTCATCCCGGTTGGGCTGGTTCTGCACAATCTGCGAAGAAACCACAGTGCTTCTGCAAGGTCTACGTGGCTATGAGCATGCAGTGCTGGATTCCAAAATAGACACCCAAAGTAGCAAAGCACCAACGACCACCAGACCAAAGGGCCCGAGGGGAGACTCTTCAATAGCCAGCTGCAACTTAAGTTTTCTGCATTATCAGAAACAGCTAGCAGGCTGTCACTCCAACATCTGACACGGCGACCTCAACTCCATGAACTTGAAAACCCAAATGGGCACAAACGGCGAACTAACTCCTCTCCAGGACCTCTGCAAGACCAATGCCAGAGAGAGACACCGCCGGCCCGAGAGTTGTCGCCCCGCACGCACCCGCAGTCCTCGCCCGCGGTGAGCCCTTGCACCCTGCGCAGGAAAGCGACGCGGTTACCTTTTCGGGCCGCGGGATCCTCCAGCAAAATCCCAGGTCCGGGTCAGGACAGGCGCGCGCTGCAGTCTGGGGTCGCGGTCAGGGTCAGGCCAAGGAGGCGCCCCATGGACGCCCGGGCTCGGGCTCGCTCCTTGGCCGGGGGTGTGAACGTCTCCGGCGGCCGCTCTCGTCGCTCCGCCCCCGCGGGCTCGGAACTCGTTGTGCTCCGCCCGCCGCGACGGCTGCAGACTGCCCAGTTTCCTCTTTGCCTGCTGTTGTACCAGCCAACCAGGGGATTTCCACCGGGGACTTTCCAGTCACGTGATGCCCAGCCCGGCACCGGAGCCCGCGTGGCACGTCGTGGGCCACCAGAGGGCGCAGGGGGCGCTGAAGGCAGCCACCGAGCTGCCTGGCCGGCTGCCCCGCCTCGCCCCGCTCAGTCGGCCGCCGGGAGAAACTCCTGCGCCCCGCCCCGGGGTGTCCCCGCGTGAGTCACCTGGGCATTTCGGAAGCTGGCCTCAACGTCACATCCATGTGGAAATCGCGGTGATGGGAACTGGAAATCAAATGGGTTCTTTTTTCGCAGCTTTTTCTGCAGAATCAACCGTGGCGAAGAAGGAGGGAAATAAGAAAGAGAGAAAACCCTAAAAACCACCCAGTGCAGGGGACCGCAGGCCTGAGGACGGGTTTGAAAAGTTTGCGCCGTGCACGTGATGAGTTGTTAAGGGAGAAGCCTAGTTAGGGCCCAAGAGGGGATTTCGAGAAAAATAAGCGTGGTCCCCAAGCTCATCGTTCCTGTCAACCCCAGGCTTAGGACTGGGTAGGATGCAGGGCCCGGGTGACTGACGTCAGACTCTGTGGTCCTGCAACCTTGAGTTCGAAGGGGTGATGGGGAGTCTTAGATAGAACTAGAAATCAGAACAACTCTCACTCCCATCCTACACTCAATCCATTTCCCCTATTGAGCACCCCAATGAAACATTTCAGTTTAAAATCATTTCAGCCATTACTGGCTTTGTCTTGTCTGCCCAGGGCTTTATTGGGTTATTTTAGATGTCCAGATAGTTGGTTTATCCCCAGGTACCAAAAGCTAATAATACTTGTTATACCCTCACCCCATACCCCACACCGCACATGCTGTTTGCTTCATGAGGACCCCTGAGTCATGTGGAGGTAGGTGTCAGTCCCATAAGTAGTGGAGGTGCATGAGCTGTGGAGGGAAGGCATTAAGATGCTTTTGCTGCTTTGAAGCCTTCTATGCCCAGGTGCCCCCCCCCCCAGGCTCAACTCCTGGAATGCCTAAGCTAGTTCCAGATGTGAATATTAGGTGCCTATTAGGTGCCATTGTCCCCTTAAGCATGCTTGTCAGGTTGTCAAAACTCTATATTGCAAGTATTGAATTAGAAAAACATACTCTCCTCCCTCTTAAGGACCTGCTGTGGCTGGGCTGGGGTCTTAGTGGAGGATGTCACTCTTTTGGCAAAGGGAGGTTTAAAGCAGTGATTGATGTCCCAAAGCTGGTCTAGCTTTTTTAAGCTGATGGCTGAATTTTTTTCCAACTTCATACCTGCTAGTGTGCTGAGGGCCATTACCAAGTAGGAATGACGCATCGAAATTTCCTTGCCAAGCGTACCCCATGCTGCTTAGAGGACATTCGATGGGACATTGCATGCATGCTTTAATAAGGTGACCTTGCTCAAGGACCAAGGCGGATCCGGGTTTAGAGCTGATCAGGTTTGAGGAAGTAACCGGCTCCTTGAGTTTAAGGCGTTGCCAGTTTAAGATAATGGGTTTTAGGGAAGTTGGAAGTTGAAGATTATTGCTGGGATTAGGGTGTTCCTGCTGCTTGTTCCTGTTGAGTTCTCGTGAGATTGAAATGGGATTTGGAGATAGCCTCGTGGAGTAGGTGGATGCAGAACGCGTTTGCCCCTGGACCTGTGTGGAGGCGGTGTGAGAGCGGGAATAAAGAATTGCTGTTTGAACCTACAAAGCTGTGAGTGCCTCGTGATTCTGGTGCCAAGCCGAGACCTTGGCACTAGTGTTTGTCCTTTTCTTGTTCACAAATGATCTGGGTGATGATGTTAGCCAAATTATATTGATATATTCATGTATGAATATATAACAGTGAATACCACTATTATGTACATTTACAATGCATCAATAAAAATAGGAAAAATGTTTTCAACTGCCAGTGCTCAAGCAATGGATAGTCAAATATGTTGTTCAAAATGACATTATTTCTTGAGGACTTACTGTATGCTTACCTATGCTTTTAAATGACACATGAGAAATAAGCCATTTGCCCAATGTCTACACAGCTGGTAAATAACAGAGCTGCCATTGGAACAGGATCTGTCTCACTCTAAAGATTATACTGGTAAGAAAACTGTGTGAACACTCCTCGCAGGAAAGCTCCAACACGGTATAAAATCTCAGGGGCCTTGTTGATATGCTGATGCCCACCCTCTAATCACTTAGTCAAATACGGGCCCTGGTTCCACCCTCAGGAAACTTCCTGGGCACATCAAGATGATAGAAGAGCTGAATGGAAAAAGAGCATCTTGCACAAGATGGTAACACTCAGACCACCTCCCAGGTGCTCCTTTGTTAACAGTATTTGTCTGCTCTCTTTGGTCTCTCTCTGGTTCCTCAACTTGCCCTGCAGCTTCTGTGGCCCCTTTCCAGCTCATGTTTTGTTTCCTGGTTTGAAAAGCTAGGTATGTGATAAGGCCCTCTTCATACCTTCCACATCCAAGTGTCCTGACATAACTGCTTTACCATCATGCCTTCCAGGATGTATGATAAGGTGAGCTAGCCGTCACATGCAGGAGTGGTCTGTCGCCCTTAATTTTGTTATTCCATTTCTTCTAATTCTACCACTGAGCTCACGAATGCTCACGCAGCCTGCACCCCATGCCCTAAGCCAGAGTGAGGGGTGGTCTCTGTGAGGAGGCATCCTTAGCTTTGCCCTTCCCTAGTCCCTGGCTGTACACTTACCTTTTTCCCTTTCTAGTATAACACATGGGTAAGACCAAGGAGAAGTTTCTTGGTGGTGAATCGGAAGGAAACAATAGAAGGGGAGAGTGCAGAAGTTAAAATTGAACATTTTGTGTTCATTGCACAATTGCCCCTTCCCTTTTCCTAGAATTGTGTTTTTTTGAAAAGGTGGATACATATTTAACATTCTGAAACACCCTTATGTCCCTGTGGTAGTTTAGTTATTACATGGTAGCTTTGAATCCTGCTTCAGACTTTAATCACCTTTGGCTGAGCTCTGAAATTACTAAAGAGTAATGTTGACACTTACAAAGCCACTACAAGGACTAGTTCTGAGAAAATAATAAAAGCTCTTTGTGGATTAAAACTACAGTGAGAACTCAAATAATGATGATGTCATAGATTTCATCATCTCATAAATGCCATTTCTTATCTAGGAACTTCAGGTCCTTTACAGGTATTATCTGGATTGAATGAAGAAATCTAAGACTCACAGTAGTGGAGGGACAACTGAAGCAACCCAGTGAGTCATTAGAGCCAGGAACAAAGACCCTCTACTGGAAGGGAGGCTGTTGATTTCATGCCAAGTGAGCTCCTCTTGTTCCACTTTGCCTGAAAACATGCAATGCTGAAATCCAAAACTGGTCAGAAAATACACTCCTGTGAACTCCAGTTTAATTTACTGTCAACACTTGGCTGAAATTTTTGGCAAAGTAATTTTATTTTACATCATGAATATAAATATTCAGTTCTTACTTTCATTTCTGTTTCTGTGGAGGCTGCTATTAATGACCAAATATGAACTATGACAAAAGGCCCTGAAATGGGTATTCTTAGGAATCTGCTGTTTGTGGGGTTGATTTCAGCAATAAACTGTATGCTGAAATCCATTAGTTCCTGGTATTTGCAATAATGCCCGCCTTTGTGACAATTTGCCTTGACTGTACCTTTCTCTCCATCTATCCCTTAATCTCTTTAGTTCAGCTTGGGTTCCCCCAATCCTGCTTCCCTACTACTCCTTGCTTTCCCCCCTCTTATCTCCATTAAAAAAGGGATTTGGGTTCTCATTCTCTCAGGGACCTGTTTTCTGGGTCTGGCTAATAAGACAATACATATATTCATTTTTTCAAGCAGACTATAGTGTGTTTTTATGTTATGTTTCTTAAGAAAATACTCCTGTTAAAGCTAGAACTTCTCAGCTTAATAGTGGCAATTCCAAGATTCTTAACAGGCTGGAGGAGGACCAGCTGTTTTTTTCTGTGGTTCTGAGTCCAGGGTTCTAAGACACAGTGAATTCAGTAACAGCATGAGGCATGGGGGAAGTGGCCTAGCTATACACATTCCTTCTTTCACTCCTGACAAAAGATTACAGTTACAGATGTGACTACATTCCTTTCTTCTTCACTGTCCCAATCCACATTTGATCCTAAGGCTTTTGGATTCTTCTGAACTGATTCTGGTTCATAACCCTTGTACAGGGCAGTGTTTGAAGAGACCGTTTTCACTAATCTACACTGTTAAGCTTTAGTCAAAAGGGTTGGCTTCTTATCTCCAGGAAACATTTAAATGGCTTTTTTCTCTATCTGGGGTCTAAAAAGACCTTTGGTCCTTGCTTCACTAGAAACACTGAAAGAGGAATTATTCTAAGAATGAGCACTTCCTTCCCTTAGAATATTCCTATACACGTTTGTTCTGTGTCTTGCTCTTATAGCTTCAATTCAGCATCATAATGCATTCTCAAAGGACATTTTATTCAACAAGCAGGAATCTGAATTTAAGTTAAATGTAACTTTATGTTGAGACAGAAATGCAAATTACTAAGTGGGAGTGAGTCTAGTTATTCCCTGATTTCAGTGATTGGGTCTGTTTGCCTCAGGTCCCTGCCCTTATCCTTATGTTTTTCCTGCAAGTACTCCACATTCAACTTCCTACTCTCCTGTCATTGAATTAGAGAAACCTCCTGCTATTCCTCTTTCTGTCTTATTTTCAGCATTTATCACAAATGAAAGTTGGTTATTTATTTGTCTAGTTTTTTATCATCTATTTTCCAACTATGAAACTCTTTGAGAGCAGGATTCCTGCTTGTCCTTGTTGGCTTCTGTATCCTCTGTGCCCAGAGTGTGCCTGACACAAGCAGGCACTCAATAAATAAGAATTTGTTAGATGAATGAAATGGTTGAATGTATGAGGATATTTCTATATATATTTCTAAGCTTGCAAAGGCAGAGGTAATGAGAACCACCCCATTCCATTCCC